GGTGGAAGGGGGAGCCTTGGGCAGGAGGGACGGGCAGATGCAGAAAAGTACTGTGTGTTTGGAGGACAGTGAGCTGGCCAGCTGGGCTGGAGCCAAGAGCTCCCGCCAGTAGGAGCTATTGTGAGCATAAATGGAAGAGGAGTCGGGGGAGGCTGCAGCAGACGCTGAATCTAATAATAATAAATATTAATACTAGTAATAAAAGTGAACACTTATGGACTATTACCACGGGTCACACAATGTTCGAAATCTTCATGTGAACAAACTCATTTAATTATCTGGACGCCTCTCAGAGATATATGTACTATTTTTATCCTCAAATCACCCTGAGGGACCTGAGCCCTAGAGAGATCAGGGGACTTGACCTGGCCATGCTGCTGGTACATGGCAGAGCTCTGACCCTTGGCTACCCCAGCCTTGACACCTCCTGCCTTTGGCTCATCTGTTTCCTGCCCAAGTGATGGCACAAAGGCCAAAGCAGCTCCTGAGACAGTGTGATGTGTGAGTAGGAACAGGGAGTTGTCCGTGGATTCCAGTCCCAACTCCACCACCGCCCTCACTGTGCGACCTTGCATATATGTCCTCACTTTTATGCCTCAGTTTCCTCATCTGTAAAATGGGAACAAAAAGCCCTCCCTTCCGGGATTGTTACATAGCTCAAATACTGGTACATACGCTGTGCGTGGGAGCCAGCCCATGAGGACAGTGAAATAACCAGTGACTATCTCCAGCCCCTACTCAGCCCTCCCAACTCTGCAGGGCCTGGAGGGACGTGGCCCCTAGCTTGTAGTCAGAATGAGAGGTCTAGGAGTAAGGGGACTTTGGAGGATAAGACAGGAAAATGAAGTGCCCTTCTGCGCAGGGGCACTCTGGACCTGGGTCCTCACCGGCCGAGAAGCAGCTGAGAATCATGAGCTGGGGCAGCGGGCAGGCCCCGAGGCAGGGCTGTACGCACAGCCAGCTCTTTGGGTCCTAGGAGTGCGCCTGCCCGATGCGTTCTTTGTTGGGCTATCCTCTTCCAGGCCTGTGCCAGCTCCTCTCCCTTGGCCCCCACTGCCACCCCCACCCAAGCCAAGCTGAGAACAGCTGCAACTGGGCCAGACTTGGCCTGCATGGCTCATGGGCCTTCTGCAATCCCTGCTGCCCACGGTGGGGCCCTCAGGCCTGCTGACGTCCAGCTGGCATGGAGCAAAGGCTGCCCTGGACATCCATCTTCCCCTGCCTCTCTGTGCCCTCCTTCAAAGGGCAAGAGGAGGGCCATGACATTTGGGGACGCATCCCGTGTAGCAGGCAAGTGCGGAGGACTTTATATGCCTTCACCCATCAGATCCTCTCTCATCCCTCTTGTGGCCACAGCCCCTGATGGATTTCCCTGCCTCACCCACCCCTCTCCCTGCCACGCCCCACCCGCCAACAATCTGTTCTCAACACAGCAGCCAGGCTGAGCCCTTTGGAATGTGTGTCAGATCGTGTCATTCCTGCTCAAAACCCATCAGTGACTGTCTCTCTGATTCAGAGGAAAAACTAACTAGCAGTGTGACTTTCAACAAGTCATGTCATTTTTCTGCTTCATTTCTGCCCATCGAAAATGCAGACACCTGCCTCATAAGATGATAATAAGTTAACAGAGATAACTGCTTGGAATAAGGCATGGCTTGGGGTAAATGCTAAATGATTATTAGCTGTATCATTATTGTTTTTACAGTGGCCCACAGGGCCTTACACAATCTGCTTTCTACCTGGCTCCCTTTGCTGCAGACTCTCAGTTTCTTCCAGAGCCAGGCATACTTCCCACCCCAGGGCCTTTGCACCTGTGGCTTCTCTGCCTGAAACACTTCTCTGCAAATATTACCTTCAGGTTCTTCCTGATCACTCTGTTTAATATGGAACCCTCCCCTACCCACCCCTTACCCTATCACTTACCCTACTTTATTTTCCTCCATAGCATTTATCAATGTCTGGTACATGGCATCTCATCTATTTACTGTCTGCCTCCCCACCACATGCACTCAGAGTGTAAGCTCTATGGGGACAGGGATTTGTGTCTCTCTTGTCCACAGCTCTATCCTCAACACCCAGACATTGCCTGGCATAGGATAGGAGGTCCGTATTATTTGGTGGATCAATGAATGAAACTTCCTAGCAGCCCCAAGAGACAGATATTTGCACCCTCATTTTATAGAGGGGCTTTGAAGGAAAGTCTCAGCAGGCTGGGAGCTTGCCTCAGACTGTGGTTTGAGGGATGAGGACTGACTTCAGAGCCCCATTCTCCCCCTGCTCAAGTGACTAGTGATTGTCAGCCCTTCACCCACACCAAGTCCCTGGCACAGTGCTTTGCTCTGAGTGCGAAGGGGCCTCTGGAAGTGTCAGAAAGGCAAGAAGGTATTTTTTTTAATTTTGTTTTTTATTGAAGTGTAGTTGATTTACAATGTTAGTTTCAAATGTACAGCAAAGCAACTTAGTTATACATACACATACATATATTTTTTTTCAGATTCTTTCCCATTATATGTTATTACAAAAGAAGAAGGTATTTGTCTGAGTCAGCTCAGGCTTCCATGACACAATACTACAGACTGGGTAAACAGTCTTTTAAACTGTTCTGCTAACTACAGAAATTTATTTCCTCACTGCTCTGGAAGATGGAAGTCTGAGATCAGGGTGCCCGCATAGGCAGGGTCTGGTCAGGACCCTCTTCCTGGCTTGCAGACGGCTGCCTTCTCACTGTGTTCTCAAGTGACAGAGTGAGAGAGAGCAAATGCTTCCTCTTCTCAGAAGGCCCCAGTTCCATCTGATTCTGGCCCCACCTATTGACCTCATTTAACCTTAATTATGGCCTAAAGACCCTTTCTCCAGATACAGTCACACTGGGGTTTTGGGCTTCAGCATGTGAATCTGGGGGACACACTTCAGTCCATAGTGGTATTTCAGAAGCCACTGAAAGGGGAGGAGAAGGGTCCCCAGGAGGCGGTCCTGCGCTGCCTGCCTCACGTTTTCCTGTGGGTGATGCATATGCGGACCGTGGGAATGCAGCGCTCAGCCCTGTCCTGGGTCTGACGTGAATCAGCAGAGTGATGAGCACAATCTCATTTTATCCTCACAACAACCAGATGAGGTAGGTGTTATCACCCCATTCTACAGATGAATAAATTGAGGCTCAGAGAAGCGTACTTACTTGCCCAAAGCCCCCCACCTGGGAAATGGCAGGTCTGTTCGATGCCAAAGCCTGTGTTCTTAACTACTTTGTGAAGTTCCCTTGAAACTGTCAGAGGACGTCTCCCTCGGCCCACAGGACTGAGGGGCCACGGCCTGCCCTCTAGGAGCCGGGCATCCCCTCGGGGCAAGATGAGCGCGTGGGGTGTGGAAGTGGCGCAAAGTACCAGGTGCAGGAGGAGCTCAGATGGCAGTGTGGGCTGGGCTGCTCACCAGGGGTGAGAGGTTCAGTCAGATGAAGAGAGAGGGTGGGCATTCCTGGGAGAACTGCAGTCTCCTTCGCAGGAGGACGTGGTGTGGTGGGAGGCCGTGAGCTCAGTGCCTGGAGCAGAGAGGATCAAGGGCAGACATGGTAGGAAAGCTGAGGTGGGGGGAGGCAGGGACAGGGGTTGGAGGGCCCGGAATGTGCCCTCTGCACATTCTGCAGAAGGTGGTATTCATGTGCTTTTCCTCCGCTGGGGGCAGAGGGCCTGGGGAAGAGTTGGCATCAACTGGATGTCACTTCTGAGGTCCGTAGCCTTCTTTGGTATCTGGCTGGGCCAAGAGGGCCAGTGCAAATAAAGAGCAAGGTTGGCATGAGGTGCACAGCAAAGGACAGAGCTGAGCTGAGCTTTCCTAGGGGAGGCGAGATGGCAGCTGTGAGCAGTCCCAGCGACCCTCCCACTGCAGCTGTGACCTCAGGAAAGATCACACGGCTGGTGGCACCTTCCCAGATTCACTGACTCCGCCTTACCCGGCAGCAACTTTTGGAGCCCCTCACAAGAGGGTGCGTCTCACCACGGTGTGCTGGTGAATGTTCAACAACTGGCTCTCTTGGGGGCAGAGTGGGGTGCGACACTGTTTTGTAGCATTCAGTGATTTTCATGATGCAAATACTCCCCTGTGACTAATATCAGCTACCAATACTATGTCACTGATCGCAGAACCAGAGGCAAGAGTCACTCTGTTATTGGCTACTGGGAGCCCATATGAGCTGGCCCCTGCACACCATTGCTTCCACCTCCCCCAAGACCCATGGCTCCAACAGCAGCATTAACAGGGCACCTGAGAGGAAGGAGCCAGCCACTCTGGGTGTCCCAGAGCCTTGGGGCTCTGAGGTCCAATTGGATCTTCCCCTGGAGGGCACCTGATGTCTTATCCCAGTTAGCCCTTCAAGAGTCCCCAGGGTGGGTCCAAGTGCTCCACATGTGAGCATCAAAGTCAGAAAGCACCAAGGTCCCAGAAATCCTAAGTTAGAGCTAAGTCCCAGAAGGAGGCCATGGAGCAGCTGAGACCAAAGGGAATGCAGGTGTCATGTGTAGCTGCAGGCCTGGTCTCGCCAGCCCGGTACCCACACTTCATTTGACTGCCAGTCTTCAGGACCTCTTGCCAAAAGACCCATCTTGGAATCTTGTGTTTTCTTGTCCTCCTCTGCCCCTCCTGGGGTAGACCCTAAGGGACTGAGGTCATGGCTCACAGGGTTGGTGGTACCCGAGGGGGACCACAGACACCCCCAATGCCAAGAGTGATAGCTTGGGGGGATGGAGGAGCCAGTTGTGGAAGACCAGAGTCCACCACAGACCTCCCACTTCCGCTGCTGGTACGAGGATTGGGCAGCCTTGTGGTGGGCGGCTGGCCAGCTGAGGCCTTTGCCCAGATGTGGAATGTGAGTTGATGAGGATCAGTCTGAGCTGGTGTCCCTCTGCGCTCCCCGTGTGGGTGTGGGCCCCCCAAGGACACTCTTGTTGTCCCAAGGAACCTCACCCCTTCTCTCCTGGTTGCCCCTCCTTCCCCATCACCTGCTATAGGTTTTTCATCATCAAAGAGAGCTTTCTTCTCTACTACTCTGAGAGCGAAAAAAAGAGCTTTGAAACCAATAAATACTTCAATATACATCCTAAGGTGAGGGGGCCTCTCCCAAGGACCACAGAGGGGGAGGGCCCAGGGGGGACCACGGGGACTGGTATCCTCTGAGGGTAGGGTACAACCTGTTGTCTTGCTGTGGTCTAACAGAGAGTCTGGAAAACAAATCCTTTTGGGGGCACAAGCCGCCCTGTCCCCTTCCTGGGCTAGGTTCCTACCCTCCTGTGCCCCTTCTGGGAGAGTTCTGGTCTGGCTTCCAGCCTACAGCCAGACCTTGGTAAGACCTGGCTGTGGCTGAGGGCTCCCAGAGGCTTTGAGTGACCTGGCCTGGACGGGGTGGGGGCCGCCTGTCCTGGTTCTTTCTCAGGGTGTCATCCCTCTGGGAGGCTGCCTGGTGGAGGCCAAAGAAGAGCCCAGCATGCCCTACGCCATGAAAATCTCCCACCAGGATTTCCATGTGAGTAAGGCTCTCCGCTAAGCCTGCTCTCAACAGGGACAGAGCAGTTCCTCTCAGATCTCCCGTCTCCCTGGGGACAACCCCTCCAGTGGGCTGGCCTGGGAGGGGTGTCAGTGACTTGGGGATGTGGGGTGGGCGAGCAGAGCAGGGCCTGCAGAGTGGCCTCCATCATCCTCAGGGTGGCCTCCTCTCAGGTACACCCGTGGCTCCTCTTCCTGGCAGGGGAACGTCTTACTGGCTGCCGAGTCCGAGTTTGAGCAGACCCAGTGGCTGGAGATGCTGCAGGAGTCTGGGAAGGTGTAAGTGCACATGGGCAGGATGGGGTCCAGAAGGGGAAAGGTATGGGCTGGGCTGACCCTGATCTCCCTGCCTCTCTGCTGGGTTCCCAGTGGGCACTGAGGTCCCTGGGAGAGGGCAGGGTGGGGAGGGCAGGGTGGTGGGAGTTGGTTAGGGTAGGAAGAGGAGACGGACCAGGTTTAAAGCATCTGTGGGGGGTTCTTCTATGTGAGATTTGCTTGTCCAGAATCACAGGTGGCAGATGTGGACATCGTTTGTCTACAACTCTCAGGAGCAAATCCAGCATCACTCGGAGGATTTGGCTGCCTCCCGACACCCATCTCATCTCCCCAGGCCCATAATTAATCCTAGCACAGACCAGAGCTGGTTCTTGTAGATCAGAGTCCAGATCACAGAAACCTCTAGCCCAGCACAGTCCATTTGCACACAAACCCCTGTCCCAGCACCTGCCTATTCATGCTGGGTTGTGCTTTTAGTTCTAAAAATAATGCTGATTGCGTGCCCCCTACCAGGCCTTGTGCCAGGTGATGGGCATTCAGTGGTGGAGAAAGCGGCACAGGAAGCAATCTCTTCCCTGCTCTGAAAGTGCTGTCGGCCCAGCCCATGGTGTCCCACTTTGCAGACTGGGCCAGCCTCTGGGGCTGTAACTGATCCACGCTGGTGACGTGCCCAGAGCCACGGGTGCCAGAGTGAAAGCAAGCTGTGATTCTGGAGGAAAGGATGGCGAGTACATACCATGCATGCTTTTCCTCCTCCATCCTTCTGTTTTAACGATTTTGTGTTTCTTCCTCCTCTCTCCTGTCCCATCTGCCCTCCCTCCCCAGGACTTGGAAGAATGCCCAGCTGGGAGAAGCCATGATCAAAAGCCTGGAGGCCCAGGGGCTGCAGTTGGCCAAGGAGAAGCAGGAGTATTTAGGTTGGCTGACGAATGGGCTAGAAACCACCTCCCTGATGGTAGCATTTCAGGGCGGGTGGCTGTAGCCAGGGGCTTGGTGCAGGACTGAGGGAGCGTGTCTTGGGTGGGGCTTAGCAGGCTACGAGGAGCCAGAGACCTGCTCAGAGTCTGGAGAGCTTTCTGGCGTGATACATGTCCCTTGGGCCAGCATGACAGGAGGCAGGAGAGCTCGGTGGTTAGGAGCTGGGCTCTGGACCCAGCTCTGTCGTTTATCTATCAGCTGTGTGTGTCTTTAGGCAGCTCACCCTAAGTTTCCGTTTCCTCATCCTTAAAATGGAGACAAAACAGGTCCCTAGCTTTTAGAGATGGTGTGGGGATCGGGTTAAACGAGAAAATGCCCATAAGCACTTGTGTCAGGCACACAGTAAGCACCCCACAAATGGAGCTGATGTTATCCTGCCATGGGCCCCCAGGTCCTGGACTTGGCCCCAGTTCTCACCCCCAGTCCACTGTAGATCTGATCACAAGGTTCTAGGCTCCTGTGTCCTGACTCACTGGTGGGCATGCTCTGTCTGACAAAGAAGAAGGTGAATCTAGGGGGCTGGTCCTTTGCCTGGGACCCTCTCCTCTGCTGCCTTCTTAGACATGTGAGGCCCCAGCGCTGGTTCCCCTCTGCCTCTTCCAGACACCCTTTGTCTCCAGGACCTGCCCTGTCCCACTAGCCAGACACTAGAACAGAGGTCAACATCACCCCAGGGGGCACAGAGACCCACTTGAGCTTCCAAAGATGAGCTGTCATTGTCTTGTGAATGCGCAAAGCAAGGACAGTGATGGGAAAGGAGGGTAGCAGCTCAGGACAGCACAGAGCTTCCATCCCCAGGAGCTGGCCCCACGCTCTGGTTGGCCTGGGAGAGGTGGTGCCAAACCCCTCCTTGGGAGGGGCTGGGGAAAGACGGAGGTGATCGCAGCGCCAACTCCTTGAGACTGGACCTGGAGTGAGCTTTTCATGAGTCTGTGTGCTTGCTTTGGCAGACAAACTGATGGAGGAGACCGAAGAGCTCTGCCTTCAGAGGGAGCAGAGAGAGGTAGGGGCAAATGGAGGCTGCTCAGAATTGCTGCCGCTCCCCACTGCCTCCCGCTCTGTGGGCCCTTTCACAGCCAAGGTGTACTGGCTGGTGTTCCTGGCCTTAGGGAAGGATGTAGGGGACATGGGCACCAGAGAGCTTGCTGAGAAATCAGACGGCAGAGCGGGGAGGCCAAGGAGATGTCAGTGATTGGGACTTGCTGTAGCTTCTTGGCAAGAAGTGTATCTCTCCTTGCCAATCCCCAGAGAGGAAAGTAAAAAGCTTAGGTGGTCACCTTCTAGAGAACAAGCCATTCAAAAATTTTATAAGCTGTGTCAGGAGGTAATGAACTGCTTGTCACTGGTGATATTCACAGGAGGATGTGGTGGCCTCTCTCATTCATAGAGGGGCTTCTGGCACCATAAAGGTGATTGGATTGGGTATCAGATTTCCCTCCATCCTCTAAATGTCAGCATACTAGTTCTAAGTAGTCTAAGCATTGGCTGGAGGCAGCCTGTTGCATAAAGATCCTTGCCTCATTTGGGAATGGGGAGCGGCTGAAGTCCACTTCATTTGGGATCTCCAGGCAGCACTGGGCCTAGCCTGTTCTGAGAAGTCATTACCACCCCTGAAGGACAGGGTAGGGTAGTGGTTAGTGGCACTGGCTTGGAGCCAGGCCACTTGTGTTTGTTTGTATTGTGTTTGTATCACCACTTCTGGCTGTGTGACCTTGGGCAAGTTACCTAACCTCTCTGAACATTAATAGTCACATGATAAATGGGGATAATGATAGAACCCCTCTTATCAGGGATGTGAGGATTAGATGAGATGTTACATATAAAGTGCTAGGCACGTAGTACATGCTTAATGAACATTTGTGTTTTTTTTTTTTAATATTATGATCATTAATGATTAGCCCATCCTGCACTTGAACTGCCTGAACCCAAGGCTACAGAGAGGCATGCCTGGGGGCATCTGCAGAGGGAGGGCCTGATTTGGTTCACTTCTCTTTGCCTGGTTCCTTTTCCTTGTCTCTCCCAGGCAAGTCCAGGGCTGGGCCCGTCAGCCTGGGTTCAGTGTCTCCCTCTCTGACTTGACTCCTGCAGCCTCCTCACCCTTCCCAACCACCCCTCACTGGACTCGGAAACAGGCCCTACAGTCAAGAAGCATCATGTCCCTGTAGCACCGCGAACACTCCCAGGGCCTGGCACAGCACCTGGCCCAGGATGGGTGCTTGATAAATGTTGTGGAATGACTCAATGAATGAATATTTTGGATTCTTATTGTTTTACATTACATCTTGGTTTTAATCCTGTCGGACAATCTACCCTCATTTTTCTTCTCCCAAAATTTTATCAGGTATTCTTGCCCATTTATTCTCCCAGCTGAAGGTCATTATCATTTTGTCAATTATCAAACAAACAAACAAACAAACAAAAAACCCAAGACGAAATACCCCAAACCAAAACAAACAAAAGAGAAAAAAAAGGAAAATCTATTGAGGATCTGTATTAGGATTGCATGGATTTGAGGATTGGCCTGTGACAGCACTGAGCCTTCCTCCCCTCAGTGGTGTGCAAGCCTCCAGGTCTCTGGGTCTCCAGGCTCTGGTCTGTCCTTCTGGCATTAGAGTTTTGGCATTTTCTTCATATAGTTCTGTACATTTTGAGAAGTGAGACTTCTGGTGGATTGTCGGCAACTTAAAGACAGGTAATTTAGGAAGCCAGGGGATGACACATAGTGACAGATACAGCCACTGGCAGGTAGAGACAGACTTATCCATCAGAGAGGCTAAATCTGGGGCAGCAGTCAGCCCGAGGAAAATTTAGACACTCTATCTAGGTCTTTAGCCAGGAAATGAGGCCAGTGGAGACCCAGTGCTCACAGGCCTCGCTTAAAGCCCTAGCACGCTGAAGGAGGGAGGCCAGCCAGCTGTGAACTTCCTGGTGTTTTGGTACAGTATGTGAGTGAGACTCACCTGGGCCCAGGTGGTATCGCAGTGAAGGCTGCTCTGGGCCGGCAGGAGGAAGAGGACTGTGCTCAGGTTCACATTCCTATGTCAGCTGCATACTCTAGACCGGGAATGGAGCTCATTGAGTCATTCTGCCAAGGTTACTCCTTCCTTAACTTAATCATCCATACTATGGGTCTGCCTGTCTCCTGCACCTCTCCCATCTCCACTCCAGATCAGAGGTGGTCTGGGAGTACCTTGCTTGGGCCACATAGAAAGACATTTGGTACAACAGCCCAGTGATAAGATGAAGATTTTCTGGTCTCTAAGAAGCAGTCTGGTCTAAAGGGAGACTCAGGGTCTGGTACCAGGAAGCCCAGATTAGAGTCTCAACTCTATCACTGACTATGTGACCTTGGGCAAATTCGCCTCTGTGATGCTCCAAAAAGAGTGATGGCTGTGCCTGGCTAGCTCCCAGGCTGCTGTGAGGCTGAGTGAAATAATGAAATAGAATGCAGGGAGCGCTTTGTGGACCAGCAAGGCCCATGCAGATGTGCGCTGTGTGCTGGTGCAGCCCTGACATCCTCCACGTGGCAGAAAGGGCCTGGAGGAGGGCAGCCTGGCTACCTATATATATTTTAAACGTAATAGGGTCATATCAGATATTCACTTTTATGGCCTTTTTCAGGATAGTTTCATTTTGCTTTCATTCATACTGTGCCTTTAGCAATTTTCCATGTCAGTCAACATTCTTTGAAAACATCAGTTTTAATGACCAAGTACTGATTCATCATATGTGATGAGCATTAACCTTCTATTTTTGGACATCTAGGCTGTTTTCACTACTATAAATTATGCCACAGTGAACATTTTTATATATAAATCTTGGTCTGCTTTTCTAAGTATTTCCTTAGGTTAGATTCCTATAGGTGGAATTACTAACTCGAATGGCAAGAAATTTTAAGATTCCTGATTCATATTGCCAAACTGCTTTCAAAAAATTTGTAGTGGGTGGGGTATGGCTTAGTGGTGGAGTATGTGCTAAGCATGTGTGAGGTCCTGGGTTTAATCCCTGGTACCTCCACTAAAATTAAAATAAAAACAGTTTTTTAAAAATGTACCTATTGCCACTGCCACCAGCAGTATATGGGGATTTCCTTGGGGATTTAATCGTTCACTTTCTCCCATTTTCAATTACAAAAGGATATCCCAGTGTAATAGTAAGTAAAGGGAAACGTTTACAAGTTGGAGTGTTGCAGAAAGGGGCTCTCCAGGCTAAGAGGCTAATGTTGTGGGATGGTCCTCCAGCCACGTCCTGTGTGGTCTCTTCTGAAGCAGCAGAAGCCAGGTGCCTGTAAGAGCCAAATGCCCTTGTGATTTTTCAGGTCTAAGCCCAGGGATGCTTACAGCCTATAATTTCCCCAGTCCCCCAGGCAGCCCTGGAGGCAGAGGCCTCCAAAGGGAGGAGATAAGTCAGGTTTATCGTCATTCGGCATACCATGTGTCAGCTACTGAGAATGTATTAAAGTAGAGGTTTTCAAACTCTTTGAAGCTCTGAACTCTTTTTTCATGAAAAAGGGGGAGGTCTACAAGAATAAAATTTTAGTTATATTTATATTATGTCCATACTTGGCTATATCTACTGCCATAACACACAACCCCGAAGTATTAGTGGTTTCGAACGGCAAAGGTCTGCTTCTGACTGCGCTACCTTGGTCAGCCTGGGGCTCTGCTCCACGTCTCCCCTCAGGGATCTGGACAGATGGAGCCTCCACTGTTGACAGCAGCACTGGCTGCCATGACATAGAAGGGCACGGAGCTTGTCTGCCCTGCCTCTTCTATCTGCCTGGAAGTGACACACTTCTGCTCATATCCATTGGCCTTGGTCAGTCCCATGGACCTACCCAGCTTTTGCAGGTACACTGTGGCCATGCAGTGTGACCAGGAGGGGCATCAGAATACCAGGGAGTGGCCCTAGTGATAACTGTTAGTGAACCACACCAGGAGTGTCAATCGTGATTAGAAAGGAAAGAAATAGCAAATTTTTGAGTGAGAAGCTTAGGCATAGAAGGCATAGGGCTTGGAATCAGACTCTTCCCTTTCCTTCAGGTTTTATTCCTTCTCTGATTCTCCCCCAGGCCAATGGCTACTTCTCCCTGCAGGCAGCCCCACTCCCTAGTGGGGTTTCCATTATCCTTGAGAACAAAGCCCCTGCATGGAAAAGGAGGGTGTAATTTGGAACTAGAGGATGAGAGGGAAAGCGGATCTAGAAATAACATCCTCCCATGGTGTAAAATGTGGAGGAACAAAATAGTTGTCACAAAATGCTTCTAGCCACCCTTCACTTGAAGTGTCCCCCCCAATACCATCTGCCATGGAACCCCAGGAAAATAGGGCACCTGGGGGGCTCCTGCTTGTTGAGAAAACACTTGTTGGCATTCCTGAAGGGACTGGTGTGGCCCGTCTGAGCCAGCCTGTCCTGGGCTTTCTGGCTCTCCTGTTACCTTGGGGCTGAGTACAGGGGAAGCTGCAGTCACTTGTACGCATTATCTCCCAGATGCCCTGAGAAAAAAGTCTTTATTCTCTGACTTTTGGCTTGGGAATGGCTTTTCTTTGACACTTCTCACCAGTGCCACTCCAGGGATCTTCAATGGCGATACACACTCACACTTTTCCCTTGGCGACTTGGAGGCCAGCCAACATGCGTTAGGGTGTGAATGACTGGAGTTGCCGAGTGGCAGAGAAGACATCTAGAATTATCATCACATCCAGTCACAGGAAATATTGTTGGGATCGTTTCCAAACCCTGCCCTCAGCATGCTGAGTGTGTTTTAACTGAGCCCAGCTTATCACCAATTTCAGTTTTGTTGAGACTCTGTGTCACTGAGTGGGGCCAGAGCTCCTCGGGGCTTAATTCCAAGTCTGATCTAGACTGTGCTGAATCCCAGAGGATCCCCTGGTTTAGAGTGGGGTTCCTGACCTCAGGGCCCTTTGCTGCCCGTGACTCTTCTTTCTCTCTAATTCTCTTCAGGAACTTGAGCGCCTGAACCAAGTGCTGGAGGCTGAGAAGCAGCAATTTGAGGAGGTGGTACAGGAGCTGAGGATGGAGCAGGAACAGATCAAGAGGTGATGGTGGTGCCCTGGGAGGGAGCAGGAGGGAGGTGCACCCAGGCTAGGGTGTGTCGGACCCGTGTTTCCGGTCAGGCTGGAGAGGCCTCCCTCCAGGAGATCCTCATTACTTGATGACTTTGGCTCTATCTTCCCAATGCTGCAGGCCTTGAGGTGTGCCCAGAAAAAGCTGTGATCCCACATCAATGGACCGGTGCTGCCCCCTGGAGCGTGAGGCATGGGCAGGTGCACTCAGGCATCCCCCCAAGCAACAAGCCCCTCCTGCCTCTGTCAAACCTTCCTTCCCTGGGGCGGAGAGGACAGGCTGGTCTGGAAGTGCTGTTAGCCAAGACCCCCAACATCTCCTGTCTTTCCTGCACAGTCTTTTCACATTCTGGCTAATGATGCCTGTCTCTTGGGATCTTTAGTCTGTGTGGGTTTGCAAACCCAGTTGCACATTATAATCATCTGAGAGGATCAGAATCTCCTGAAGGTAGGGCCCAGAAATCTGTATTTTAAAAAGTATTCTATCCCAGGTAAAAAAAAGAGAAGAAGAAAAAAAGTTCTCCAGGTCATTCTGATACAGTCTGTGCATGAATCTGAGACCACAGCTCTGGGGATTGCTGGTGGTGCTGGCTGTTGTCACCACCATTATCGTCGTCATCACTATTGGTTATCAGCAATAGCCCAGAAAAAATTTTTCTTTTACCAACTTTGTAAAAGAAAGTCATTTGTATTTGGGGGAGAGAGGAGCTCAGAGGATCTCACCAAGTGATAGCCAAGCACTTGCTCACTTCCAGAATTGTGCCAGACACTGGAATAGAAGGCAAGTCCTCTCCGCTAAGGATCTGGTTGGGAAAACCCGACTCACACCCAGGAAACGTCACCATGATCATACACAACCAGGAGCTCAGAGGCATAGGACACACTCCCCGTGTTACAGGAATTAAGATATATGTGTGATCCTTGGGGACTTCAGCAGAGGTTAGATTGAGCTGGGTCTTGAAGGGCGGGTAGGACTTGGAAAATTGGGCAGGAGAAGGGAAAGGCATCCAGGTAAGAGGAGGGGAAACCTGGAGTAAAGGCCTGGGGCGGGGGCCAGGCTTGTTATAAAAAAAAGTATGGAGTTTGTCACCCCAGAGAAGGGCCACAGCCACGTCTCATATTAGAGTGAGCAGGGGTTCCAGCAAGGGCTGTCCAGGGAAGACAGAGGGTGAGGTCTTTGTGTCTCCAGTGCTCCTCTCCGCCCTTGCGGTGGCCCTGGATTGATTCCGACTGACAGATTCACATGCCCTTGGAGCAAGTGACTTCTGCCCCACTTGGCTGGCATCTTCCTTCTTTCAGCCCTGGGCCCCTATAGCTGCTGGCAGGACCCCAGCCGTGCAGAGGGGCTGGCCTTCCAAAGAGCCCGCTAAGCTGTATAGAGAGGTAAAGCGGAAGCCACAAAGGGGCCTGGGAGGGGTGGACACTACCAGACCCAGCCCTCTGTCCCCGCAGGGAGCTAGAACTGACTGCAAGATGCCTCAAGGGGGTGGAGCAAGAGAAAAAGGAGCTGAGGCACTTCACGGAGTCCTTACAGCAGACGCTGGAGGTGAGGGGCCACTGGTGGGCTGGTTGCCTGGAGGCAGGCTGGTTGGTTGGGACACACAGTAACAGTTTATCCAACAGTGTTTCCCCAGAGGGTTATCTGCAAGGGAAACAGGGCACGAAGGGGCGCTGATCTAAAGGGTCTCTTCCCCATGGACCATCGGGAACTCCAGCCAACCCATGAGGCCCAAAGCAGGACCCAGAAAGGCAAATTCAGGTTTGCCCTTGCTATGACCGTGGCCTTAGGAAATCCACCTTCTTCAGTGCTTGTATTTTTATACCAGATGGAAGATTGATTCGGGTGGGTGGCGGGGTGACCCACCATTTCCTTCTTGTGGCTCATTCACTTAGGGTGAAATTGAACATGAGGGGAAATCAACAGTAGGTCACCTCCATCTGAGACCACAGAGACTGTGAGGGAGGAGGAGGTGGTGTGTGTCAAGGACAAAGAGCACACTTTGGCCCCAGCCCCCACCACCCACTCTCCCTCCGCTGCCCTCCACACCCCGTACAGTGACACCCCAACCCCCATTTCAAACCACTAAGCACACGTGCCCCGAGGAAGCCATGCCCTTTTATCCTGCAAATCTTTGCCCACACTGTTTCTTCTATCCAGAAAGTGCGCTCACTTCTCTTCCTGGAGAACGCTTTCATCCTTCAAAGACTCAGCTCAAATATCACCTTAGACAAGCTTCCCTGACTCTTCTAAGGAGGGTTTGCTCTGAGTGCTGCATTCCTGCAGCATTTTGTCCATCTGTTATGCACTTGACACGTGAGGCCGTGTTTTCCAAATGGTGAACTTCACTAGATTGTGTCTTAAGTTCTCTCCAAGCCCAGCACCGTGAGTGAGCCTGGCACATCGTGGGGGATCCATGATGGTCACTGAATTCATGAATTGCCTTGCAAGCTGCAAGGTTTCTATCCTCCCTTGACTGACTGGGGTTGGTTTGTGGTGCCTTTATTTGTTTATCTTTCCCTGGTTCACATCATGGGAGGTGGCTCTCACAGGTAGTCCCAACTCCAGAATTTCTGAGTAGTGAAAGATCCCAGTCTGATAAGTGGGGAGAATGTCTAAAAATGCTCTTGGGGTGGTTCCTGTTGGGTGTTTTTCACATGAGCCCAACACACTCCCTCACTCATCCCTGGAGGAACAAGAACCCCAGAAGCTCATGATGCCCTTGGGTACCATTGTAGTAGATGCCACCTCCACTGGAAGCCACACTGGGCTCATCCTCCTCCCTTGATGGAGGAGTAGGCTTGCCTTGGTGTGAAGAAGGAGATCCTGGTTGGCCTTTTACCTCAAGGGAAGAGTGGAGACATTTCAGATGTTCCCAGAGGACTGAGAAGAGGAAGGCATCACTTCCTGGAATTGAAAGGCAGGTGAAGGTAGCCATGGCAGAGAACCTGACTTAGGCTCTCTCTCTTCCTCACCTCCCTCCACAACAGGAACTCTCTATAGAGAAGAAGAAAACCCTGGAAATGCTGGAGGAGAATGAGAACCAGCTGCAGACACTGGCCAATCAGAGTGAGCAGCCCCCTCCCAGCGGGGGTCTCCATAGCAACCTGAGGCAGATTGAGGAGAAGATGCAGCAGCTCCTGAAGGAGAAGCTCCTGGCGGAGAAGCGGTGAGGGAGTCCATGGGGGTAGCTCTCCTTGAGCTGGGCACCTGGGCTCTTGGGTTCTAGGTTGGCCTTGGTCAGATAGGTCACTCACTTCCTTTTGCCTCAGACTCAGTTTCCCCACCAGGCAAATGGGAAGCAATCCTTCAGTATCCTAAGCTGACTTGATGATTGTCTCTTGCAACAATGTGACCCATAAAGACAGTCATTAGGCCCGTCTAGCAGCGCTTTGTGGCAGGCTGGGCAGGTCCTCTCTGCCCCTTTTGACAGATGAGGCAACTGAGTCTTGGAGTGATTGGAGGACTTTCCTGAGCTCACAGAACTAGCGAGACCTGAACCCACTGACCACCTGGGGTACGCCACCTAGGGGACAGGACCCAGCTGGTTCTGGGGTTCGCCAGATAGGGTCTCAGGGTTTCTCCAGCCACGTTCCTACAAGGGGCCACTGTCCCCCTGGAAGCGCCTTTGGCGAGCGGTCTCTGAGTGAGCCCCTCTCCCGCAGGATGAAGGAGAATGAGGAGCGCTCGCGAGCCCTGGAGGAGGAGCGGGAGTTCTACTCCAGCCAGTCCCAGGCGCTGCAGAACTCGCTGCAGGAGTTGACGGCAGAGAAGCAGCAGGCTGAGCAGGAGCTCAAGGTGCTGGCCTAGGAGCACTTGGTACTCTGGGCCATCCCGCACCTGCAGACTTACTTCCCTTATATCCGTGCACTCACTGGGCAGCTACCTAAATTGTCCCTGCCCTTCTGCCCAGCCAGGTGCAGGCCATGCCGCCACAAAGGGAAACCCTGAGCCTGCCCTTTGGGCCAGCCCTGTAGACACTCGCAGAGTGCAGGGGCCAATTCCAGGCCATCGGGTGGAGGGTATAAGACACGAAGCAGGATGTGGTAACGTCCATCCACGTCTGGAGGCGAGAAAGCCCACTTGAACCAGGAGAGATCAGGGAAGACTTCCGGGGGGTGGCAGCTGCTCCCTAGAGCCCAGTTCCCTCTCCTGGCCTCTCCCCGCAGGCTGAGGTGAAGGTCCGCATGGACTTGGAGAGGCGTCTGCGGGAGGCTGAGGGGGCCTTGCGGAGCCTGGAACAAGGGCTCAACTCCAAGGTGCGGAACAAGGAGAAGGAGGAGAGGATGCGGGCTGACGTGAGCCACCTGAAGCGTAAGCCTTGCCCTCGGTGCCCTGCCCAGCCCTAGAGCTCTGCCCAGCTGTGTCCAGGCCCTGGAGAGCCCCAAACCTGGCCTGATGTGCACCAGCTGTTCCCTAGCTGTTGATAGAGTTTCTTCTCCAGACTCCTGCCTACAGGCCTTTCCTTGGCGTGGCTTCCTTTGGTTGCTGGACCTGGGGTGGGGGGAAATCCTGTCATTCTGCTCCCTTCAGCTGGTGGCTCTGGTCTCCCAAGGGAGAGGGTCAATGTATTTTCCTCTCAACCCCAACTGGATCCTGGGGAAGGTATGGGAGGGGGCAGGAGGGAAGAATACAGTGGAGCTATGGCTGCAGGGTTCTTCGAAGAGTGCATTCGGAATGCCGAACTGGAGGCCAAGATGCCAGTCATCATGAAGAACTCGGTGTACATCCACAAGGCGGCCACTCGCCGCATCAAGAGCTGCCGCTTCCACCGGCGCCGGTCCAGCACCTCCTGGAATGACGGTGAGTGTGGCTGTCTGCAGCCCTGGAGGGTGGGATGGTCATGGGCTGTCAGTGACGAGGCAGGAACAGGGCAGGGCAGGGAGGAGGAGGGGCTGGCCCAGCCTTGGGCTTCTCCCAGTGTCCTCCCTCCATGGGAGCCCTTGATGGGCTATAGGACGGGGAGCCAGGGAGATGGGCTGGGGTTGGGGACAGGGCTGTGCCTCAGTGGAGGAAGAGCTGTTCATGGCTGGCCCGTGGGACCACTGTCTCCCCAGTGAAGCCATCCCAGTCCTTCATGACCTCCCAGCTGGAAGCCAACAACATGGAGGAGCTGAAGGAGGTGGCCAAGCGGCTCAGCCGGGACCAGCGCTTCCGCGAATCCATCTACCACATCATGGCAACCCAGTCCGGAGCCCCCTCTGTGCTTCCCCGGGGAGGGAAGTGATGGGCGCTCTTCCCCTGCCCCCTAAGTTTCTGCTCTTTGGGGCAGGAAGGGGCTTCAGGGGGAGGCCTGACTCCACCTGGCTCCTCTTTGCCAGAGCTCCACCTAGGGGCCAGCCTCAACCGCAAAGGTCGGGGTGCCACCCACCTACCCTCTCCCCAGACCCTGCCCTTGGGTCTAGGCCAGGCCCCTGCAGGCCCAAGCTGGGGGCTGCCTGGTTGTCATGATAAAGTGAGGAAGGGGCCTGGTTGTACATACAGGCCTCTTTGGTTGGGGAGTGGGGTGGGCATGGCCCACTGTACCTCTCTGTGACTCTGCCACCCTCCCCACCTTGACATTTGCTTTCCCAGGGCTTCCGAACCCTTTCTTTGCTTCTGAGACCCGTAGGCTTCCCTCAATGAAGGCTCCTCACTTTGACATCACTGTGAGGTGGGGAGGAGAGGGACCTGGCACAGTATCTCCTGGGCTCATGCATACCACACACACCTTTCCTGAGGTTGGGCTCTGGCTGTGGGACACTCACTCATTCCCCTCCTCAGCTGAGCTCACCCACCTGCAGCCTCAGCACCCTTCAGGGGAGATGTGACCCCTGGCACCCCTCCTGTATATGTACCGAGGGCCCTGGGTGAGAGCTCCAGCCAGCAGTGAGGCTGAGGTCTCCCCCAGAGGACAGGTAGCAAGTCAGAGTGGAAGAAAGTGGCTGGCTCCTGCATCATCTCCTTCTGGTCGAGCAGGGAGGCAGCTCCCTCTGGCTCCAGTGGCCTTGCTGGTCTAGGGGATCACAGATGGTACCCTCTCAGCTGCCCCAACTTTGATCACCTTGCCGCCTCCTCTCCCTGCAGGGGCTTTACCCAGTGAAACAATGACCACAAATGCTGGAAGATGGGGGGCTTGGGCCTGTGATAAGGCCAGTAGCTATTCCTTGGTCCAGAGTCATCAGGGGTAAAGCTGAAACATCTATCTGCAGCTTTGGTGGGAGACACTGCCCTCCAAGTGGCTGAGGGCTGTGTCCCTCACCCGTGGACAGACTGTCTGCCCTGTTCTTTTCCCTCCGAAACTGTCCGAGTCTGTTGGTCTTTCCAGAAAAGGGGCCTCCCTGGGGTCAGGGTGCTCAGGGACCCTGGTGGTACTAAAGATACTGATCTGCTGCTGCTTAGAAAACAGCGCCCGGTCTGAAAGGTGGACAGATGGCTGCGGGGCAGGGTCCTGCAGCCTGTTCTGTGGGAAAAGGAGTGTCGCTGACTCAGAACATGCACGTGTCTACCGCTAGGCCGGCCAAGGCCAGACAGGCTGCCCTGCTCCGCGCTCAGGGCTGCCTGGCGAAGTGAACCTCAGCGGTCCCTTCTCCATGGTGGGCGGACTTGGATGGCTTCAGCCAGTCTCTTCAGAGCCTGGGTGGGAACAAGGCTGGAGGCGCTTCAGAACCAGTTCTTCTGAAAGGGGATGTGTCTAAATGTAAAAGCTTTAAATGTATAGAACCCTGCATAAACCTGGAACTCATGTATCTAACATGTATGTAGGATGGACTTTGAAATGAGGACAATTTATAAGCCAAGATTACAATTTTATTTTTTGTTTTTAAAGAATCAGATTAATAATGGTTTGCTCTTGGAGAAAGATCTTCTGGAAATTTTCAAATGTTTTTCCCCCTGGGCAAGCTGTTCACCAGAGAGGAAAGTGCTTCTCCACGCACATTCACCAAACTCTAGTTCCTATCCCCCTAGGTCACCCTGTACTTTCCATGCCTCGGCAAGTCTGGGTTATTTTCAACCAACTGATCAATCCATAAGTATTTATTTGTTAAAAACTTACTACTGTACCTAGCACTGTAAATAGGAAAAGAGCGACATCTCTATGTGAAAATATGTGGAGGTGGAAATTGCTCACTGGAAATATACTGATGTGATTTTTTTTTAAAACAAAGCAAAGCCCTATTCTTGGCTAATTAAAAGTGTTTTCCTGCAGTATCGTTTGCACTGTGGTCCTGGCTGGAGAGATGTTGCCCCCTGCAGGCTGAATGTGGAATTATGGAATTGCGGGCTTGCGCTCCTTCGCACACACATTTTCCTAGGTAGGAGGCTGTACTCCCCTCTGCTGCACCTCCTGGGAGTGGTTTCTTAATAATTAACTGAAAATCTGTGTTCCCGCCCTGAGGCCCTGGCTATCGCCATGTAACAAGGACTATCAGCAGGATTTTCTTCTGATTTGAGCACGGACCAAAGGGACAGAGCTGACTGCACAGTGGGAATAGCCTCAGGCAGACAAAGGGTACCTAGTTTGATGGCTCTCTAGTTTCAGTATCCCTACTGGAAATTGACAGTTTTACCTGCTCCGTTGAGGAGAGATGTATACTTTTATTTTGTAATCATGTAAGGGAGAGTGGGAAATGGTGATGCCTGGATTCTCCCCCTATTTTGTTTTCTCACTGGGGTTGGATGCTCTATCATCACAACCCTTTTTGTGCTGTTTTCCAGCGTAACTGTTAATGGCTCCCCCTTTTGCTATCACAAGTGTCCCAGTATGGATGATAATTCCATGGTCATTCTGGTTTTAATGCTTTCCCTCAGTGACATGTTAATGGGTGAGGCAAGAGATCTGTAAAACACTTGGATTCCCAGCCCCTGGGAAGGATCCCCTGCCTGTACTCGTCTCTGAAAGGATGTAACTCTTGCCCCCTACCCATCCTATTCCTTCCAGCTCCTTGTGACCTGTGCAGCCTGTGGGTGCTTGGGTGCCTTCTGCCTGAAATTTGGAGCCCATAATGAATGATGATGGTGAAACAAACTTGCTCAAGCCCAGGCTGTGTCAGATTTGGTCTAATTGGAAGACAGTTACTAAACCCACCAAACAAAGGAGCCCTTGGTAAAGGCCAACAGTCCCTGGGACCCTTGTGCTTCTGTGATAAGCCAGGCTGAAGCTGCTCAGACTCCCAGGATGCTTCAGGGGCTCCCCAAAGTCAGGAACCCTGTGACTTTGACTAATCTTGCCCCACCCCTGGCAGCAGAGGTGAAGAGATGTCCTTTGCAAAGCTCTGAGAGAGAGTACAGTGGTGTCTTTTTCTTCTTGCCACTTAGAAACAGAGATCCACTCTCAGACATCCAAAGCAACTGGGAGAAACTGGTTATTCAAATGTCCACGTGGGTGTGGATGAGTGCAACGTAATGCCCCAGGCTTGGTTCTCCTGACTCTTTGCATGTCCCATCTCCCCTTCCCTTCCCTACACTTGGGCTTCCACTCATCTCTACCAACTCCTCTGACCCAGAAATGAGCTTCCTTCCCCATCCTGTTGGGTTAAAGGTATTCAGGGGAAGTTCAGGAAGCATTCCAAGCCCAGAAATCTTGGGAGTGGGGGATCTTAATAAACTCAGTCCCCTTGTGGGGAATTCTACCTGCAACTGTCACCAAATGTTTCAATGCAGTCCAGTATTTTGTGCATTCTTTGGCTTTGCCCCTGGGTGAGACTTGACGATCAGACAGGGAAGTTGAGATGAGTCCGGGATGCTCAAAGGTCCAGGCTGGACCACAGGTTCTGCAGCCACTGTTCAGGCAGATGCAGAGCCAGCTCAGTGTGTTTGGGGCTCATGCTCTCTGCCTTGCTTGCCTTGGAGGATCTGACACCTGGCTCTGGG